GCAGTGGTGCTTACTTTACGTCTTTCCAGTTAGGCTGCTGTCTTGCCCCTTCTGGCCCCTCTGAGCTGCTACTCTGTCTCGATCAGCGTTGGGGTTGCTTTCCTTCTACAGGCTTCCGGGACCCAGACTGTATGGTGCCCACTGCCCAGAGCCTTAGTCAGGGCAGGGACCGGCCAGGGGAGAGACTGCGGGAGGTTGGCCAGCCACCAGCCATGGGAGGTTGGCTGTGGGAGCACACTGACCACCAGGGGGCAGCTCCTGTGTTGAGCGTCTGCCCCCTGGTCATCTGTGTGCATCATAGACTGGTTGTTCCACCGTTTGGTCAATTTGCATATTAGCCTTTTATTATATAGGACTGCATTCATTTATTGGTTTGTCCTTAAAAATATTGTGGCAAAATTATTTTAAGATAACTTCAATTTGAATATTTTTTTTAATATATTTTATTGATTTTTTACAGAGAGGAAGGGAGAGAGATAGAGGGCCAGAAACATCGATGAGAGAGAGACATCGATCAGCCGCCTCCTGCACATCCCCCACTGGGGATGTGCCCACAACCCAGGTACATGCCCTTGACCGGAATCGAACCTGGGACCCCTCAGTCCACAGGCCGACGCTCTATCCACTGAGCCAAACCGGTCTCCGCAATTTGAATATTTTTTACAAACTTATTATGAAGATTTGATTCATCTTTACAAGAACTCGTTAAGTGTAGCTGTACCTCAATGTTTACATGGTGCTTTTCTTGTTTTTGTTTGGTTTTGGGGGCACTGAGTGTAATATTAGAAACTCTCAAACATGCAAAAATATCTAATTTGGTTGTTTACTTGTTTTTGATATTTCAGCCACCATCAGAGGTTGAATTATTACTGTTGTTTATTTAACATTTTATAAAGGTAACGAGGAAAAAAAGAGATCCCATACACTATGTCTGGTGAAGTTTTTAGCACAACTTTGGCATATACAAAGAGTCCAAAAGTCACCAAAAGAACTACTTTCCAGGTAAACTATTTGAAATGCTTTTATAAGTAAACACTGTGTTAGGAACATTTGAATTGAACTAATTTTTGGAAGAATCCTATATAAACCTGGAGTAAGACTTACATTCCTTTTAAAATGTTGCAGATGGTTGTGTTTGGACCGTGGTATTCCAAACCATTCTGTGTGTTTAAGATTACCAAACTAGCCTGAATGATAGGTTCTTACTAACTTAAAAATTAAGTTAGGTTTTCAAAGTTGAATAGCAACTTTAATTTAGTATTTTCATATAAATGTTTTATGGTTTTTCCCTATTGTAACATAACAACATTGAAGTTTTCTCTGTCCAGTCACCACAGTTTTGAACTCAGCCTCTAAATTTGCAGTGTTGATTATATCCATTACTGCAATCTCCAGAAACAAACGATCTTTAAAAGTACCAGTTTCTTCCAAGATGCCAGTTTAAAATAAATCCTGCCTGAGTCTCAATTACCTTATTTGATAGTCTATCTCAGTGGTCGGCAAACTCATTAGTGAACAGAGCCAAATATCAACAGTACAACGATTGAAATTTCTTTTGAGAGCCACATTTTTTAAACTTAAACTATATAGGTAGGTACATTGTTATTAACTTAATTAGGGTACTCCTAAGGCTTAGGTAGAGCCACACTCAAGGGGCCAAAGAGCCGCATGTGGCTCGCGAGCCACAGTTTGCCGACCACGGGTCTATCTCCTCCAATTTGACTGTAAGCTCCATGAGGAGAGGAGCCTTATCTGTAATGTTCTGCATTGAGTCTGGGGACTTGGGTTCCTGGCATAGGTTGGCTTCCAGTGAATATTATTAAATGAATAAAACCTGAGCTTGAAAGCAATCATTAAGCAAGCACTATTTGTGTAAATAAATAATTCTAAATATGATACCTCATATTTGGGTGGAAATTGATTTTAATTCTTTTATTTCAGGATGAGCTAATAAAAGCAATTACAGCTCGCTCAGCCAGACAGAGGAGCTCTGAATACTCAGATGACTTTGACAGTGATGAGATTGGTATGTGAGAATATGGAATAGTAAACCACTTTTCTTCTTTTTGTTTTCTTAGTTATAGTTAGCTCATTCCGCAAAAAAAAAAAAAAAAAAAAAAAAAAAAATTACTATGCTAAAATTATATTTATGAATTCACTAGGTTTAGATTTGCAACTTTATATTGAGTAAAAAGTCACTTTAAATTTTCAAGAAGTTGTATGATCATCCTTGGTTGTTTCTGAATGTGAACATGAAAATATAAATTAACTGGCAGCAGGTTTGCAGTAAAAGGATGCTTGTCAGTGGTAAACTAAGTTCATCTTTAAGATCAACTCTATGAGCCTCTACAGTGAATTAATAACTAGGGGCCATAGAACTAAACTTCATGCACATCCAAATCACTTTTATAATGCTTTTTATAAATCAGATTTTTGGGGGATTGTAATATGGGGCTCAGTTTTCAGTACTGGTATGATTTAATTTGCTTTTGATTATATTAAAATATTAACATTTAGATGTAAATATACAGTATTTTAAACTTGAAATTCAGTGTTTTATGCTTTAAGGTTCAGTGAAAAATGCTTATGATTAAATGAATCATTCATTTCATCATTGCCATATAGTTAACATTTTGTATTATTATTCTCATAGTAATATCTAATGAAGTTGTTTACATATAAACGTTTTACAGTTCAGAATCTAAATATCTCATGGCCAACTGTTATTTTGAGGAAACTTTGGAAGATTTTTCTCAGGCAAGGACAATGCTTGGCACCACTATTCCCACTTGATAAGTATGCTTTGAATAAATTAGTGAAATTAAAATTTGTATTTTATAAATGCCAATAAAAACTGCCTAAGTTTATTTATAATCTTGAAGGCAATCTTTTGACTAATGTAACCTTTCAAACTTTAAGATATACTACTGAAGACATTTTTTTCTTTTGTTTTTCAGTTTCCTTAGGTGATTTTTCTGACACCTCTATAGATGAAAATTCACTTAAGAAAACAATAAATGATTTCCAGATATCAGATGATGAAGAAAATAATTCTCCTAAACTATCTTTTTTGAAAACCAAGAAATCAAATAGTGACTCAGTGGAAGAGGAGCCAGGCTTCTCTAATAAAAAAGACGAGGAAATGGCGCCTGGGAATTGTGAAGACAGGGTTGTAAACCCCTTATCTGAGTCTCAAAATGAAGACCAGGAAACTGAAAAAGAGACACTCCAAATGAAACCTAAACCCAGAATTCTTTCAATCAAAAACACAGCTTCAGGTAATTTGTTAGATCACTATAACTGCATTACTTGAAAAGTTATTTTAAGTTAACCAGGCACAAAATGCCTTCATATTTAAGAGGGGGGGAATCATCAGACTTAACTTTTCAATTTTACAGACATAAATCAAAATAATAGAACCATGGAGGGAACCCATAATTTGGATAGTGGTATATTTAGTGTAGCATCTTTGCTGGTGCCTGATAGAAGGCTGAAGTACCTTCGGGCATCCACCGCTGTGCCTCCGGACGCTCCTGTGTCCAGCCTTGCCTCAGTCTATGAGCTTTAATTTTGTTTTTAGGGATGAACTGCAATGGAATCCTTTCTAATCCATCGCATACTCCAGAGATTAAAGTTATAGCAGCACTGGAACTAGTCCTTAAAAATCATTTCTTTGCCACCATTTGCCAGAATATTGTTTGGCACTTATATTATAGTTGAAGGAAGAGAGTTTTGTTGTTTTTGCTGTTAAGCCTCTAGACTTGCTGTTAGAAAGAGGATTCTCCATTTCGTTTCCCTTTTCCCTAGGAAAAATCCCCTGAAACTCAGTGTTCTTAGAGTAAATTCCTGGTGTGATCTGGAATTATAGTAGTTTCTCCGTAATTCCACTGAGCTCCGGGCACAGTGGACCAAAGATGGAGTAAGCAGGAACCAACCCCTCTAAGGTCCCCTGGGCCACCACATGGAAACATGGGCATGGAAGGTTAAGGGTTTTGTGTCCTACAGTCTTCTTTCTTTTCTGTTTTACAGGAAAAATAGTACTTGATGTTAACTGCTATATAATTCTTTCCTTTCTATCAACCTTAAATATTGTACTGGTAGATTACATTTTTTACAGGGTAGATATAACTGATAACAATAGTTTGACATGCTTGACATGTATTAGGGAGCCACTCCTTATTTCCCCCCCACAATTCTATTAAGTGATGCTTGGATACGGGGGAACAGAGAGAACACTCTAGGATGACTCTTGGAATTTGGATTGAACATTTAGGATATAGCTAAAATTGGCAATGAAACATTTACATTGGTATGGTTGTAGAATCTTCTAGCAGCATTCATAAGTCCATTTATAGGCAGAAAGGAGGAAGGTGTTAATTAGTCTGGTTTTGAAATTTTGTCAGAAGACTGCATTGGTAGAACAATGTAAAAATGAATATATGAACAGGTAAAATTTAGGCAAAAATTAATATAAAAACTTTGTTATGTTTTGAGGACTGGAAGTATACGGGCATTAGATTATTATTTTAAACCTAGTAGTAATTGCTCGGTAAGTTTCATGAACTCAGAGAACAACTCAAATCATCAAGTCCTTTTTTAAAAAAATATATTTGTATTGATTTTGGAGAGGAAGGGAGAGGGAGAGATAGAAACATTAATGATGAGAGAGAATCATTGATTGATTGCCTCCTGCACGCTCCCTACTGGGGATCGAGCCCGGAACCCAAGCATATGCCTTTGACTGGAATCCATTCTGGCACCTTTCATTCTGCAGGCTGACGCTCTATCCACTGACCCAAACCAGCTAGGACTCAAATCGTAAAGTTCTTCATTGTTTCCTCCCATGAGAGGGAGCACGCCCAGCCCCTGTACCGACGTTGCCTCCATACCTGTAACAGCTCTCACCTTGTCTTGTAATTTATTTCTTTAGAACCTACCCCTTTCCCAACCTGTAAAGTCCTTGGACAGGACCGTCACAGTCCTGATTATGAGGTCCAGGGATGTGGTAACATGTACAGGGCCCAGAAGCAGAGGCTCAGTTAAGGTTTGATAGAGACGAGTCCCATCGTTGTATAGGCCATGGCTTTATTTTATTTGTTTCTAGTATTTTTTTAATGCAATGAGAATTCATAACGTTGAGGAGCTAACTTCTCACAAAACTAAAGTTACTTCCAGGGTGGCAGCCATTTTTAAAAATTTGGGTTATGAACTGTCGCTTCTCCGTGCTCACTGGAGCTCTGTGTCGTGGGCACAGGAGGAAGCATGGTGGCACCCGGCACCTTGGGGTGCTGTTGAAGCCATGGTTAGGTTTTGTACACCCACCTTAAAATATTTTATTTTTCAGCAGAAAACAGCAGCAGCCTTGAAGCAGAAAACCACTTCACACCTTCACCTCGGCCAAGGAGCATGCTGACAAAGCACAGGCTCCAGGAAGAAAAAGATGGGCTGGGAGGAGAGAGAGAAACTGCCCTCCGGGAAGAACTAGAGGCACATCCTGCACCGTCATCCCTCCCAGAGCCGAAGGACAGACAGCCAGAAGCTGAGGAAAAAACGTTCTCTGAAGACCTTGACCCTGAGGTTAGTATTCCT